AGTAATAGTTTTATATTATCTTTGTTTGCTGTTTATGTGCTCATGCATATGTATATTTGCTTGGTTTTCGCTGATTATCTCTTCTTTTTTGCCTACGGATTTTACAGATAACAACAGATTGAGGGTAATTATTGATTCGTGTTCGCACGTTTATTCACTAGGTTCTTTTACTTTAGTGTATGTCTTCTGATTTTATTTTAATTTTAAGATTACAAAAGGTTTCGCAAAGCAGACAAAAGTAATACGTAGTTAAAACTTTTTTTCTATATCCACAGTTTTCTGAAAACTCGTCACCCTCATTCCTCTGAAGACTGTAAAGGTTGTTCAAAAATTGTGGGTTTTAGTTTTGACTGGATTTGTTTCTTGCTTTACTTTCTACTCAAAAACGCTCTATTTTGTAGAGTTTCGCTTGAAAATACTGACAATCTGKAAGTCTTTTGCACGAAAAATTSCAAAATAAATTTTTGGCTTGGTAGGAATTTTATAAAAACTTTTTCARTGTCGRATTMGGGACGACAATAMATTTCTYCCGTTTTGTCCCGAAAATCGTKAAGGTTTTCTCAAAAACCGATTACRAAACTAAAAGATTATAATCAAAAGCGCAAAAAACCCGTAATTTTCTGATGCTTTTCGCCTTTCCTGACAATAATAGTCTTTTCAGCCAAAAATGACAATTTGAAGTCTCATTTTGCAGGGAATTTTAGAAAACTCTTTTCAGATTCGAATTTGGCACAAAAACCAAATAATTTTCATTATTTACAAAGAGTATACAAAAAACTAATTTGAAAATTCTCCACCCTCATGGCTTTGAAGATTTTTAAAGTTTCTTTAAAATTTTAGGTCTACAGTTTTAGCAAAGTTTTTTTAAGCAATTATCTCTACGCAAAAACGCATTTTTTCTAGTTTTACTTAAAAATACTGATAATCTTCGGGTATTTTCTGTGAAAAATTATAAAATAAATTTCATCACTAAACACTCGCCTTTTTAACCGCTTTGTAAAAATGAGTCAAAATCCTTTTGCGGCCTCAAATTTTGGACAAAACCCTAATAGTTTTTTCTGGGTTTTTCCAAAAATATTTCCCCGAACAGAACAAGCGAAACTTAATAAACAATTAGTTTTTTTTTAATTCCGGTTTCTTCAATTTTATGTCAATTTTTTAGAAAAATTCGCTTTTTCCAAACGTTTTACTTTAAAATATTGGCAAACTGAGTTTTTTATGCAAAAAAAAATGCGAGATCGATTTTACAACAAAACTCGTTTTCTTTGTTGTCTTTTTCGAATACTCGTTTTACATTTGAATTTGTGACAAAATCGAAGCAAAAATCTCTTGTTTTTTTCGAAAAAGAGTAAAGTTTTCCCAAAAAACGATCAAAGAATGCTGAAGCCATTTAATCAACTATTTGGAAAACTATTCATCCTCAAAGCTTTGCAGAAGTTTTAAGTTTCTTCTAAATTTCCGGTTTTCCCATTTTAGATCAAATATTTTCAGCAATCGTTTCTATAGATAAGGTAACTCGGTGAATCTTTAGGAGTTAGCGCAGTGCAGCGCAAAAGGTTTGGTGCGCTAACCCAAACTAAGTTCCGCTGTTGGTAAAACGTTACTCCTAAAAAATGTTGATGACCTTTTCTTTAGATGTTAAAATTGCAGTTTCGGTCATCACTAAATGGGTTCTAACGCATTAACCGATGAGTTAAAACTCATTAACTCAGAGAGCGACAACGACTCAAAAGCGCAACCCAACACAGTGTTACACAGGCCTAGTGGGAAATGTTCTGTTCAGTTCAGTTGCAGCGTCCAAGTGACGAGGTCTGACGACGAAAGCAACTCGTGCTGGCGAAACGTTGCAAAGCAAATTTCTGACCCTAAAAAACTGTCAACAATTTCAAGCAGAATTTTCAATTGGTTTGTTTTTTCCATTGAAACGTGAGTGATGATTTTAGGGGCAGCAGCCAACTTGCGGAAGGAGGTCATACGCAATAAAATCCGGGCTATTGGAAAAATGGCTCGCGTATTCTCTGTGTTAAGGTAAAACAATAACAAAACCCTCTTCCTCCTCGGTGCGGTGGAATGATGTTAAATTCTTTGCAGGGAGGAAAGCGAATCTGTACTTCAACTTAAGGGTCTCACGCCGACTGGGGCGTTGCCTTTGGGCGCCCTTTCAGGCGGAAAAACCAGTCTTAAGAACGGTAAGAAAGTGCAGAATTCATCTGGGTCGATGTTGAAGCGAGTGGGCCAAATCTGTGCTGAATGAGAGGATTTTTTGCAGCCCTCCAAGGGTTCTCACCGAACCACAAAATCACGAGCTTTGCCGAAGCCAAAGGGTTGGACGCGATCAACGAGCGCATGCCGCCGCGCAAAGACGCACCCCCTTCTCCTGCTGCGGAGGAACCCGGCGCCGCGACGCCACAGTCCAATCATACGCCGGCGTCGACGCAGCCGAATGCGCATTCGTGAGCTGCGCCTCCGCACCAAACAGCTTAGGGGCCAGCACCCGTTCAGCCCAGTCAACTCGTCTACTACAGGTAAAACTCCTTTGAGCCTCATCGGCCATTCGAAGAAGTCCGAAGAGAAAACTGCCA